TTAGGGTTTTTTGTGGTTTCTTGTTTGTTTCCAACGAGGAAACATCTTTACTTCGTTAAAAGCTCGCATCCAGCGCTTATTTTTCTCCATCAAGAGGACATTCTCCCCTCACAAAGCCGAGAGCCCAGGCTCAAAGCCGAGCTCCGCCTGCGGGGCCGGGGGCGGGGGGGAGCCCCGCAAAGGCAGCGGCTGCTCCCCGGGAGGCGGAGTCCCTGCTGGGAGAGCGGCTGTGCGGCTCCCCGAGTACCGAGGAAAGGGAACGGGGTGGCAGCGGTGCTTTGTAGCCCGAAAAGCCCCCTCAGACGGAGCGGAGCCCGGGCCGGGCCCGGTGAGGAGCGCTGGGCTGAGGGAGCCGCGGTCGCCATGGAGACGCGTCAGGCCGCGCTTCCTGCCGGTGCTGCACTRATCATGCCCGACTGGAAACACCTGTGCCGGCGCGGTAGCCACGCCCACTGCGGCCCCGGCCAGGATAAAAGGCTGGGGGCGGACAGCGGCGCGGCTGGTGTTTCCCGCCGGAGGAGTTATGCGTGGCACAGCTATGGCCGGTGAGGGGCAGGTCGGTGCGCGGAGCGGCGGCGAGGRCCGAGGAGCGACCGGGGGTAATGTGGGGGTATGGACGGGGTCGGGGGGCAGAGGGGCACCGGGGAGGATTGGGGGGCTGAGGGAACGGGGACGGGGGTCTCCGGCAGGGCCCGGTGCGCTGYGCGGGGCCGCGGCCTGGCCGGGCTGCGGTGGCCGCTCTCGGCCCGTACAGAGGCCCGAGGTGGCCCCGCCGTGGTTGTGCCGTGGCTCCGCTGTGGGGAGCGGTGTCGGAAAGCGCCGCCCCGGAGGCTCTGCCCCTCCGCGGGTCCTCAAAGGCGGGCGGGGTCCCCAGGGAGAAGCGGGGTGCGGGGCGGRCAGGACGGGTGCGTGGTGTATCTCCCTGCAGTGTGTGTGCCCGCCGTCTGCTCGGAGCTCTGCCAGCTTTGAAAAACGTAGTTTACTTTCCCCCATGAAAGAAGTACGACCGTAGTCACCAGGAAGCAGTTTTAGTGCTGAAATCAGAAAAAAAAAAAACAAAAAAGCCCCCCCAAAAAACAACAAACCACCTGTTTTTTTTCTTTCGCAATTAATTAACTCCCAGTTATAGAACCTGTGTATTTACAAAGCTCTCGCCTGCTGGCAGTGTTATCTCTTATCTAAAAGTTCATGGTAAACCAGTGCTGCAAGCTTGGAATTCCAGCATATCTAAGAATGTGCGGGAAGCACAAGTATTGCCATTCTATTACTAAAGCTTAATTTTCCTGTTTATGTTTTTTCTTTCTGGGTCATTAACTCGATGATAGATGGCCAAAATTGGTACCCACACAGGAAGTTAGGTTTTACTTAGAGACCTGCGTTAACTTTATATATTTTGGTTCACTCCTTTTTGTTTCTGTATGCCCTTCTACTTCAAGAAAGTTGCCATCCCTACTCAGCAGAATGAGGGAATTGCCATGCTCTGAATGGCATTTTGTAAAAACCAAGACATACCTTTAATTGTGTCTCCTTGCATGGATCTTACTCTCAAATTGAAAACTATCATGCCTTTATGTACTTCACGTTTTCATGTGTTAAGTACAGTATTGCTTCAAAATCAAAAGCTTGTTTTGGAAAGTGTCTCTATGAAAGGTGTCTCTGTTACCTGGGTCTCTTCAAAACAGTTAATTTTATTAAGAATTATTTTTAAAGAAGTATGGATGGCTTCTGAAACTTGATATGCTGAGGCACTTGGGCAGGAAACAGAGCACTTTAACCTCTATGAGATGGAATGGCCATGTGAGTTAAACTTTTGCTCAGTAGTTCTCATATAAACATATATAATTATCCTTGAGGGCTAAAGTCAATTTTGTGATCCTGTGTTTTGCCATGTCCTCCTTTTTGCTTTTTCTTTCAAATTGTAATTACGTTTATTTGATTTTCTTACATAGTGCTAAGAAAGTGATCTTCAAGCAAGTCMGGCTATGGCCTTTGAGAGGATAAACCAGAAAGACTGGTACAAGGTCCTGGGTGCCAAACCATCGGACAGCCTGGCAGAACTGAAACGGAAATACCAAAAACTCGCTCTGTTGGTAAGTCTGGGTTTCACATTTAAGACACACAAAAATAATTTTATAAACCATTAACATAACAGCTGCAGGTTTCTTTTTTATTTTTTTGTATCAATATGATTGCTCAGAGTGTGTTCATAGTATCAAGTTCATAGTATCCTAGTTCACTGAGGTTGATTTAAGATTGAAATAAATATCTGCAGTTATTTGAGTTAGCAGATTTTGCAGAGTTTGAGTTTGAGTTAGCAGATTTTGCAAAGAGGGGTTGTGCTGTTCTGATTCCAAAACACTGATGTGTCTCCCAGCTTTGCTAAACTGAGACAAATACTTGTTTATCAAGTGCTGGATAATCAGGCACAGAAGTCAAAAAGTCTTTGTAGYACATGAAATTTGCTGATTGATACTTGTGGTTTTTACTGTCCTGCATATGCAGTTACAGTGTGCAGAATGTAACCCTTGAGTATGCAAAGACCAGATGCAAAGGAAAAAAAATATTTTTCCTGATAGCCTGCAGTAATGGAATAGAAAATGTACTGGAGGAAAATATGTTAATACTAATTTTATTGGAAAGTTTTTGCTGAGTTTTTGTGGAGTTGTATTCTTGGTTATGCATCAGGACTTCACATTCTGTGAATTCCCATAATTCTTTCTGTGCTGCTGATATATGTGCATAAGACTCTCACAGCTTACCAGAATCTGTGTGATTCTTGGTTATTCTGTTTTASACCCTCCCCTGAGTTCAGGCATTTTGCTCAAAAAGTACTTTGGCCTGGGTTTCTGAGAAAAATGGAGTGCATTTTTTGATACTGCTCTCAGCTGAATTTGGTAGAYAAATAGAATTCCCAAGGTAACTAAATTCCTGTTTCTTGGAGTTGGAGACTTGCTAGAGAAGAAGAAAGGAGGTGAGCAGAACTCACTTTTTATAGGAAAAACTCTCTTTAGGAAGCTGCTAGCTAGACTGTCAGTATTGGCAGGGCCGTGGAGCACGTGCATGGCAGATTTGAGGCGTCAGAACAAATGTGAAAAGAAGCTGAGATTTTTAAGTGAGGTAAAAGAGAATGCCAGTGACCAGGAGACTGAGTTTTATTAGAGCTAAAAGAAATTCATGGCWCTGGGTGGAGTTTGTTTATGTTAGTATGGATTTCTTTAAATAATTTTATTTCTGACCACTGTAAAAAATGGTTTTAAAGTTGGCCATTTCACCAGTATGTTYCAGTTTTACACATTTTGATATTCAGTTGAATTTGCTAGGCAGCCCTGCTGCACATCTTCTCAGTGCTTCCTGAGAACTTATTTTTTTTGTCTGAAACTAATTTGTGTACTTAGTCTTTAGTTTCTATACCAGACAAGATGCTTGTGTGCAGACAGGGGCCATAAATTCTTTGGTTTTTTAGTAATGAAGATGATCAGGAGAGCACAGTGTGATTACTTCTGTTCAGACAGGGGCTTATTTAAACTGAATGCTGTTATGGAATTAATGTATTTCTGTCCCATGAATTGATGTAYAATGGAATTAAAATCATAGGTCGTGTTCAGAGCTATTACAGAAGTGAAACTACATAGTCCCTTTTCCCACAGATAAAACTTTGTGTTATAGGGCTGTATTTCCATGTAATTTCATGTAATTATTTTGGGGTGTATGAAATGAGAATTATCAATGTTAACAACCATGTATCTACACAGTTTTGAGAGGTTAAAGTATTATTTTAATGTACAAGCATTTCTTTAGCACCTTGGATATTTCCAACCTAATTAGTTAGTGCTCTTTATTTGAAAAGAATAGGGGGAGTGAAAACTCAGTGAGAGATGTTAGGGAAAGTGAAGATACCTTTTTTCTTTTAGTATCTGTGGTGGATCTCTCTGACTAGAAAGAGATGTTTCCTGATGTTTACTGTAGGTGTTTTCCCAAGGCAGATCTGCTTGTCTGTTGTTGTTACCATATGTCCTGTCTCTGCTCATCTTTTCCTTTCAGTTGAGCTGTTACAGACTCTATTTGATGGTCTACTTACTGATGCAGCATCTAGCACAGTCACTCCACAGTCTGTAAAAGCATGGTGATAATAAGACCACCATGATTTTTATACACCTTAAATCCCCACTGGCTGTAGGAGTGACTTGAGGGGACAGTACTTATCTTAGTTACAGAGTAAAAATTAGTGCCACAGTAGTTTAGGAGTTCCATGGTTGAAAAAACTTTGTAGACTTACATGAAAGAAAAATCTGCCATGGAATGTTAGTAAAGAAATGTTTTCTCTGATACAGGGATCCATGAGCTGTGGACTTCTGAATATTGGATATGTAAGGGGAATATTGCTGAATGTTTGTATTGTCCTGATGCTATTTCCTAGGCCTCTACTGTTCATTGTCAGTGAGAAATCCAGCAGTGGATGGATCTGTTATTATGACATTGATTCTGTAATCATGAATATTCTAGTCACATGAATATTCTAGTCACGTGTTCCTTAGCATCAAGCAGAATAGACAGTGGAATTTATTTTTGAGCATAATTCTGCTGTTAAAACAAAAATGGCAAATCTCTGAATCCAAGCCTTTTTCAAGTGATCCCCAATGCTTCATGTTGAGCATTTGCTTTTTGCCATCTGCTATTTTCTGTATTTGTCAACACATGTATGCTTAGCATCTTGAAGGAACAGGCAGATGTAAAATTTCCARAGCTAAAAAGAGTTGGAGATCTTGCCATATGTCATCCAAAAGATARCTATATTTGCAGTTAAATCTCAGGATTGGCCTTAATAATACAAAGTAGTACACAATCAAAAGTGGTTCAATTGTAGCTTTGTAAGAATGACTTGATAACGGCAAATTAGCTTAAAACTGGTGAATTTTTAAAACTGAACCCATTTTTGTTAATTATAACAAATTGAGGATGGAAAAGGTTAGTAACCCAGAAAAAAGCTATGCATAGACACCCTACTAGAGTGAATCTATTTGCTTACTGTTTTGCCATTTTTTTTTTACTGTACTTAGTGTTTTCATTTGGTCAGGTCACAACGTTGGGGGACATTTAAGTGAATTATTTTACTGTAGATAATATCAATTCCTACTTGTCAGTTCCATCCTTAACAATAGTATTAATTTGATACAGAGAAAAGGTTTGGGCTAAAAGTAGATATTTTTTTCCCACACCTACTAATTATTCAARCATATTTATAAAATTTCTTTGGAACTTAATGAAACATAATTTTCTGAAAATAATTCTTGGATCATCTTTATATGCATAGACTTTTGGGCATAAGATGCATRTGCCACTGTCAATTCTATAAAAAGCTTATTTTCAAAAGGAAAAAAAACTGCAGTGTATGCAGGCTTATAGTATCTGGCACAAAGCTCCAGCCAGTAATTCTGAAAGACAAAACAAAATGCAAATGAGTGCCTTGAAACCAGCATAGCTCGATGCAGAGATTCCTTGGCTGGCTCTTGTAAATTCATGCTAAAGTGCTTTCTGAATCACAGACAACTTGTAGCTCCATACTCTGAAAGGAATCCAACAAATTCTGAGAATTAATATCTTGTTGGAGTGGTAGGAGTTTGGTCTTTAATCTTCTGCCTTTGGGACATGTTGATGGTTTGAGGTATTTGGGGAATGCACAACCTTTTTTCCACAGATAGACAATACATTCAGCAAGGTGATTGCTTAAATGGGTAAACGGGTTTTACACTCTATACTTGGTTTTTTGAGGAATTCATACCAGCTTTTAGGAAGGACAGTGTTTATTGTCATTACAGAGTTCCATGTCTGAATGAGTATAAAATCTACAGCAGATGAAATTAGAGCAGCAAAAAAAGGACATTTGGGGGCAGGRGGGAAAGTTAAACTATTTTATTATTGGCACAATTTTTGCATCTTCCTTTGGTCTAGCACTTTCTGGTCAAAGAATGAGTTGTCAGATTGTTTTTGAATTTTTATGTAATTGCTTTATATCTGAAAACTGCTTTTCACCAGGAATAAAGTCACCGAATGCATAAGCTTTGTCTAGCTGAAAATCAGGTGTCTGTTCCTGTTGATGCTGATGATATTGTAGGATACCTTTCAACTGGAAAAAAATTATTGTGCAGGAAAATTATATGCTGCTGTTACAATGTATGCCCTAATCTTAAAGAAAATCCATGTAATTTGAGCAGGCAGTATGCAAGAAGCTCTTATTTTTAATATGGTAAGGAAATAAAATGTGCCATTTAACACAGAGTGTTACAAGGATTATCTTTTTTATCAAAAGGGGTGGTCTGTGTGTGTACATAAATACAATGTGTTTGAGGTGCTCACTTGATCTGTTTGAAAGAGTGGAAGAATTGCAAATAGAGCATCAGGCATAGGTGAGAATGACTCTCAGCAATGATAAATAATTAATAGAAATTTAATTTAATGAGRCAAAATAATGGCAAGAAGAGATTATTCCATGGAGAATGTTCAAAGGAAAGATATAACTTTCTGGAGRACAAAAAATCTGTTATCAGAATTATGTACACATCTAAATTCTGCAATCAAAAGGAGTGCAGAGGGTGTCATATGTAAAGTTAAAGAGCTGCTTGCATGATTTTCTTTTAAAGTTTGTTGCAAGGTAAATTCAGTTTTACTCCTGAAAGGACCCGCCTACTGAGGAACTTCATACTGAGTTTAAGCTGAGGATTTGGAACTTAAAAATGAAAACACTTTGAGTTTTGTATTGAAAGTCTCATAGCGAGAATCAGGCAGTGTGTGTATTCCTTTCTTAATAGCCTTGGCAGAGTTTTTATTTTTTTGTTTGAATAGCTACATACTTGTTAGAGGTATTTAACAGATCAATGTGCTTAGCTAATTCTAACTTCATCTAACTGGGGGAAAATGGATTTGTGATTTGAAGTATAAACAGAACGAGTTCAGGGCAGCCTGGCTGGAGCTTGACTGTTAATTTAATTGCTACAGAKAGAAAGATAAGCCATCAAGTTCAGTGCAAAGCACTATTGCTTTAATGCTCTGGGTAGTTTTACTTTGAGCTGTTCTTTACATCAGATTTACTAGT